CCGCCTAAACACATACACATACACACACATACACGCACACATACGCATATATACTTATTTATATTGTATCAGAAGTAATTAATTTAAATTGCTTCTGATATCGGAGTTTCCCGCTCGTCAGGACTCAAATAAGAAATGCATTCATTAATGAAAACATGTCGATTTTGTTATTTTATAAGTGGTGCCACAGATAAAAATCCAAAGGACTGAGGCCGGACGAACGTGCAAACTATGGATTCGGTCCTCCCCTACCTATCCACCTTTCATGATAGATGTCAGCCAGTGCATCACGAACAATGTGACTAAAATGTGCTGGAGCCACATCACGCATGAACCATTTGCGCCTTCGTATTAGCAGGAGTACATCCTCTAGCAGGTCTGGAAGTGTGTTCGAGATAAAGTCCTTGTGGATAACATCTGTAAGACGTACTGTAAAAATATATGGACCAACAGGATAGTCACCTAAAATTTCTACCCACACATTAATCGTAAGCTGATTCTGTGTCTAGTCTTTATTGGGATTCCGATCTGCCCACAAATGTTGGTTGTGTAAATTTGTTATTCCATCTCTTCCAAATATTGCCTCATCCATAAACTGAGGAGATAAATAACAGATCAACAGTTTGTGAAATAAACCATCGACAAAAGTTCTGTGGTCAGATGGCGAAAGATTCTGCATGCGTTGTAAATGATACAGATACAGGTTTGGTTTGTTTTGGTTAATTTTGTTTTATGGCATATCAACCTCAATGGGTTATTTAATGCCGACAACATTTTTAGGATAGATTCGTATGAATAGAGTATGTATTCTTTGGTTTAGATTGGTTTGGTTTATTTTGTTTTACGGCATATCAACCTCAATGGGTTTTTAATGCCGACAACATTTTTAGGATTTTATGAATAGAATATGTATTCTTTGGTTTAGATTGGTTTGGTTTATTTTGTTTTACGGCATATCAACCTCAATGGGTTATTTAATGGGAATAGAGTATGTATTCTTTGGTTTAATTGGTTTGGTTTATTTTGTTTTACGGCATATCAACCTCAATGGGTTATTTAATGCCAAACAACATTTTTTGATTCGATGAATATTTGTAGGATAGATTCTTATGAATAGAATATGTATTCTTTGGTTTAGATTGGTTTGGTTTATTTTGTTTTACGGCATATCAACCTCAATGGGTTATCTAATGCCGACAACATTTTAGGATAGATTCTTATGAATAGAATATGTATTCTTTGCTTTAGATTGGTTTGGTTTATTTTGTTTTACGGTATATCAACCTCAATGGGTTATTTAATGCTGACAACATTTTAGGATAGATTCGTATGAATAGAGTATGTATTCTTTGGTTGAATTGGTTTGGTTTATTTGTTTTATTCTTTGGGTTATTTAATTGGTTTGGTTTATTTTGATTGGTTTTTTATTTTGTTTTACGGCATATATGGGTTATTTAATGCCGACAACATTTTTCATTCGTATGAATAGAGTATGTATTCTTTGGTTTAGATTGGTTTTTTTTACGGCATATCAACCTCAATGGGTTATTTAATGCCGACAAATTTTTAGGATAGATTTATGAATAATATGTATTCTTTGGTTTAGATTGGTTTGGTTTATTTTGTTTTTAGCATATCAATCAATGGGTTATTTAATTCAACATTTTTAGGATAGGTTTAATGTATTCTTTGGTTTTTGGTTTGGTTTATTTTTGTTTTACGGCATATCAACCTCAATGGGTTATTTAATGCCGACAACATTTTTAGGATAGATTCGTATGAATAGAATATGTATTCTTTGGTTTAGATTGGTTTGGTTTATTTTGTTTTACGGCATATCAACCTCAATTTATTTAATGCCGACAACATTTTTAGATTGGTTGAATGGTTTATTCTTTGGTTTAGATTGGTTTGGTTTATTTTGTTTTTACGGCATATCAACCTCAATGGGTTATTTAATGCTAAACAAAACAGGATAGATTTATGAATAGATAGTATTCTTTGGTTTATTGTTTGGTTTTATTTTGTTTTAGCTTATCAATCAATGGGTTATTTTCTTTGAATAGAATATGTATTCTTTTTAGATTGGTTTGGTTTATTTTGTTTTACGGCATATCAACCTCAACAACATATTTTAGGATAGATTCATATGAATAGAGTATGTATTCTTTTTTGGTTTAGATTGGTTTGGTTTATTTTGTTTTACGGCATATCAACAATGGGTTATTTAATACCCGACAACATTTTTAGGATAGATTCGTATGAATAGAATATGTATTCTTTGGTTTAGATTGGTTTGGTTTATTTTGTTTTACGGCATATCAACCTCAATGGGTTATTTAATGCCGACAACATTTTTAGGATAGATTCGTATGAATAGAATATTTATTCTTTGGTTTAGATTGGTTTGGTTTATTTTGTTTTACGGGCATATCAACCTCAATGGGTTATTTAATGCCGACAACATTTTTAGGATAGATTCTTATGAATGTATTCTTTGGTTTAGATTGGTTTGGTTTATTTTGTTTTTACGGCATATCAACCTCAATGGGTTATTTAATGCCGACAACATTTTTAGGATAGATTCGTATGAATAGAATATTTATTCTTTGGTTTAGATTGGTTTGGTTTATTTTGTTTTACAGCATATGAACCTCAATGGGTTATTAATGCCGACAACATTTTTAGGATAGATTTTTATGAATAGAATATGTATTCTTTGGTTTAGATTGGTTTGGTTTATTTTGTTTTACGGCATATCAACCTCAATGGGTTATTTAATGCCGACAACATTTTTAGGATAGATTCTTATGAATAGAATATTTATTCTTTGGTTTAGATTGGTTTGGTTTTATTTTGTTTTACAGCATATCAACCTCAATGGGTTATTTAATGCCGACAACATTTTTTAGGATAGATTCTTATGAATAGAATATGTATTCTTTGGTTTAGATTGGTTTGGTTTATTTTGTTTTACAGCATATCAACCTCAATGGGTTATTTAATGCCGACCATTTTTAGGATAAATTCGTATGAATAGAATATGTATTCTTTTGGTTTAATTGGTTTGGTTTATTTTGTTTTGGCATATCAACCTCAATGGGTTATTTAATGCCGACAACATATTTAGGATAGATTCGTATGAATAGAATATGTATTCTTTGGTTTAGATTGGTTTGGTTTATTTTGTTTTACGGCATATCAACCTCAGTGGGTTATTTAATGCCGACAACATTTTTAGGATAGATTCTTATGAATAGAATATTTATTCTTTGGTTTAGATCGGTTTGGTTCATTTTATTTTACGTCATATCAATGGGTTATTTAATGCTGACAAAAATTATTATTTTTTGTGATATTTTTTTTTGTCAAAAATCTGTTTCTGGTAATATATTTCCTTCAAAATTGTATTGCTGGTTATAATTTTTTTTTAAAAAAGTATTGCTGGTAATAGTTAACTATTTGCCCATAGCTGGGGCCCTAACAGGTGCTACCACCCCGAGTCATGGTGGACCTGGGAACACCAGCAATTAAGAGGTGGTTCCACGCTCCTCAAAACCTCCTGATCAGAGGCCTTGCTGCTGGACGTAGTTTAACGTCTTACTCAGGACGACGGATACACGAGCTGCTCTTGAAGTACCTTCCATGTGGTACTATGAAATGTAGGATATGCTAGAATCACTTGATGTGTTTTGATACCTGGATCGTTTGTGGCATCCTGTAGAATATATTCTTCATGGTCAAGCGTACGTGATGATCTCGGTCTTTCTCGATGCATAGTTTGTTGTTGCCACGGATTCTGTCTCAGCAAAGCAACGATAAACAGCAGCAAAGGTTGGATGATTCGGCTGTCTTCGGTCTGGAAACTCAATCGGATAAAGCCGTGCAGCCTCGCGTCCATTACCAATCACGAGGCCGTATGTAAAAACCATATCTGCCTGATAACGTGCCATTGTTAACACTTCTATTAACTCACTATTACATACGTTAAACGTTGAAGACAGACTAGCCACACATGTACACGAATAACAAATATAACCTAATCCATATTGCAACACTGCACCGTTTACCGTAAAGTTTAAACTTAGTAACTAAAAAAAAGAAACATTTGCGGACATATTTATATATAAATATATATCCTATATTATTTCGTCATTGTTTTGATGTGAGAAAACCGCCCCCAAAGTTTGTAAATGTATTTTTGATACACCCTATATATATATATATATATATATATATATATATATATATATATATATATTTTAAAAAATCTTATAATTTCAACATTTTTTTAAAACAGTTGGATACAGAATGAAAAAATTTAACACCGGAAATATATATATATATATATATATATATATATATATATTAATTGATAATCCGTATGGATAATTCTATAGAGGATATAAATCTACAGAGAGCTCAATGTAAGAGCAGAGCAAATAATAATTATGAAAGCGAGACTTTAGAAAACCATGGTAATATTTTATTTCGTAAAACCGAAAATAGTATAGGTTTTGCGAAATAAAATATATATATATATATATATATATATATATATATATATATAAAATCCGGTGTTGTTTGAAAAAATGTTGAAATTATGTGATTTTTTAAAATCCTTAGGTGACTTTTGGGACACCTTCTATAAGTTTCGGCAATTTAATTACAAACAAACATAAGTATAAAAAGTTGTTGATAAGAAAAATGTATTACAATATGAAAAAAAATACAACAAAACATGTTAACATAGACAAATTTTCCAATATTGTGTTTTTGTCGAAGGCATCTTCATTTGATTGAAGGATTTCAAATCATAATCGTGTTTTTAGTTGATCAAGTAAGAACGATAATTCTCGAATGGTAATTACTTTCCAAGAATAAGGCTTTTTTTTGTTTGTTTGAGTTGTTATCTTAATGAAGTAAACATCTTGTAAACATCATTTACGGGCGAAATATTGATTTGAAATCCCATTCGTATTTATTTATACGAAACTGAATTATTTCCATTTTTCCAAAGCTGAATGAAATAAAAAGACAAGCAAAGAGAAGGAAATAAACGAAGACAAAATTGGAGAAAATGGCACCGGAGAGCAAAGATAGACTTCACATCTATAAGAGGAAGACATATTTTCAAAGACAAAAAAAAAGAAGACGAAGATAGGGAGCGAAAGGTAGACTACAGATAATGATAATGGTAATATTAACTGTTTCCTTATAAGGAAACATTGACCGAAAAGACTGTGCCACCATCGGTTGAAATATATAGAATTTTCTCTGAAAAGAATTCTTTAAGAAAATAAATCTCTCAAGTCCAGTAACTGTTATCGCTCTTTCCATTACTGATGGGAGTTTCTTTCCTAACCTTTCATTTGAAGTAGTGTGGAATGTCAATATCTTTACTAGGCATAAGAGAGATGAGAAGAGAATGAGATAGATAGATAGATAGATAGATAGATAGATAGATAGGAACTGGTTGAGATAGATAGATAGATAGATAGATAGATAGATAGATAGATAGATAGATAGGAATTGCCTGAAATAGATTTGCGGGTTGGTGAGGCTATTTAGGAAATAGTTGGATGTCTTGAATTCAAAGTTATCCTTCTCCTAGACTGGAGGTCACCCAAGGCTATAGTACCCAGTCTATCCTACTATTTACCCATAGCTGGGCGGAGAGATGGATTCATACGTAATTGCCCAGATACATTTGCAAGTAAGGAGGAGATGTGCAAATGCATGTATTTCCGGACGGACGAACATAGGGCTGGAGAGGAAAGACATTTTCAAAGAAGGATAGCAGTGAACAGATAGATAAATAGATAGATAGATATGGAGAGACTGAGGGATGAATAGACTGAGATAGATAGATAGATAGATAGATAGATAGATAGATAGATAGATGAACAGACTGAGATAGATAGGAAGAAACTGAGTTAGATATGGAGAGACTGAGATATGAATAGACTGAGATAGGTAAATAGATAGATATATAGATAGATATAGTATTATATAGGAATAAAGTGTCGCTATCGACAATCGAGGAAACACATATAAGTAGGAAATCACGTGACGTCTAAATTCCCTATAAAATATGCATCTATCCTCTATTACTATACGGATCGCCATTTCTAGTCTATCCTCTATTACTATACGATCACTATTTCTAGTCTATCCTCTATTACTATACGGATCACCATTTCTAGTCTATCCTCTATTACTATACGGATCGCTATTCTAGTCTATCCTCTATTACTTTACGGGTCGCTATTTCTAGTCTAACCTTTATTACTATACGGATCGCCATTTCTAGTCTATCTTCTATTACTATACGGATCGCTATTCTCTACTCTATTCACGATACTATTTCTTTATTCGGATCACTATACCGATTATTGTTTGAGTGTGTATTATCGAGCAAGTACTATTGGCGCGAGTGCTATTCGAAGGCGTCTGACACCAGTATTGTTCAACGGCGTTACTATAGTTGTATCTGCGATTACAAAGTCTCTACTACAACGAGCATTACGAAAGTGACAACGAGCATTCGTTGACATCACAAAAGTGGCAAGGAGTGTTCGTTGAGTCACAAAATATAGAGAGATATAAACAGATTAAGATAGATATCTTGATAAATAGGATAAAGAACAAATAGGAAACGTTTATAAATATAACATGTTTCGCTTTTCTTAGTGCTTCGTCAGAGTATGAGAAAGGGAAAAAGACATTTTCTGCTGTTTTTATTTTTGTGTTTGATTTTCATTGGTTAAACGGATTTCACTTGCGTTTATCTTGTACCAACTATAAACTCACATCAAAAACACTATAGCATCACCAATATTTATTACCACGACGACGACGACCAGCAACACCGGTATTTATGTAAATAACATCACTAAATCAATATGCAAACAGTCACCCAACATAAGTAACGCCTACTAGACACATATACAGATACTAAACGAATAATGATTTCCTGGTACGAAAGCCGGATTAATCTAGAAATGAACTGGCCTGACGATTGCATCTAGCATGAAACAAACTGTCGTCTCTAAGTGTTAATTTATATGTTCACTTATATATATATATATATATATATATATATATATATATATATATATATATATATTAACCCTTTTGTATCTGGTCTTAAGATTTTGATCAGGGGTGTATATATATATATATATATATATATATATATATATATATATATATATAAATATAAAAGTGAACATAGAAGTCAACACTTAGAGGCGACAGTCTGTTTCATGCTATATGCAAAGGCCACATATCTGTTATTTTTCTCGGCTATTTATATATATACGGGTTAGTGATGCATTGTGGGTATTCTATTATGGCGGTTATTTTTACCGGAAGTCGCTTTGTTTATTTATTTGGGTCAAATTATATTGCTCGTTTTATTTTTTATTTTTATTTTTCTTTATTTATTTATTTATTAACGTAGTAAAAATTTGTTTATATCACGTATTTAACAGTTTTGTTTTGAGAATTTAATTAAAGCTATTTGTTCAATTTTGGGGTTGGTTGTTTTAGTTCATTCTAACTATTATTTTTTTTTTGGCGGGAACAGTTTTTTAATTTGGGATTGGTTTGTCTATTTATTTACTTGGATGAATTTAGGTCAATTTATTTGTATATTTTCTCTTTTTGGTTTTCGGTTTTTAAGCAACATAGTATTTATTTTATTTTATTTTATTTATTTATTTATTTTTATTTTATTTTTTTTTTTTATTAGTGTATTTGTTTGTTTTTATTTTATTTTTTCCGTTTTTCATTTTTTAGGTTACGTAGTAAAAATTTATTTTCATGCCTGCATTTTGAGATGAGCTCGGATCTTTTATTTAATAATTTATTTTGGTCGGGGAAAGTAATGATAGCTATTTTTTCCTCCAAGCAAAGTTTGCAAGTTTTTGATTGGTTGTTGTAGGCTGATGACTATGGTTCAACCCACCGTACAGCAAGAACGTAAAAACAAACGTAGGAAAAATATTCTTCAAACTCTTACACAAACACTTCCCAGAATCAAGCACCTTACACAAGATATTCAACAAAAACACAGTAAAAATCAGCTACAGCTGTACCGAGAGCATGGCACAAATAATAAAAAAGCACAATAGGAAAATTATCAACAAACCACACGAACAAATTAAACCCACGTGCAACTGCAGAATAAAGAACGAATGTCCTTAAACGGAAATTGTCTACAAAACAACGTAATATACCAAGCCACGATAAAATCACCAGATAATGAAGAAAAAAAAAAGTATACATAGGAGTAACTGAAGGACCCTGGAAGCAAAGAAATTATACACACAAAACATCGTTCACAAATAGTAAATATGCGAACAGTACAACAACCAATCAAAAACTTGCAAACTTTGCTTGGAGGAAAAAAAATAATAGTTAGAATGAACTACAACAACCAACCCCAAAAATTGAACAAATAGCTTTAATTAAATTCTCAAACCAAAACAAAACTGTTAAATACGTGATATAAACACAATTTTTACTACGTTAATAAATAAATAAATAAAGAAAAATAAAAAAAAAAAATAAAAACGAGCAATATAATTTCACCCAAATAAATAAACAAAGCGACTTCCGGTAAAAAATAACCGCCATAATAGAATACCCACAATGCACCACTAACCCGTATATATATAAATAGCCGAGAAAAATAACAGCAAATGTGGCCTGACGATTGCATATAGCATGAAACAGACTGTCGCCTCTAAGTGTTGACTTCTATGTTCACTTTTATATTTACACACGCTCTATCTCTGATATTGAGCACTTTATCCCATAAATATAGCACACCTTAAGACTATATTTCTTTATATATATATATATATATATATATATATATATATATATATATATACACACACACATAACTAACTATGAACCTAAAGAGTCAGGTAAACCTACCTAGGTTTCACCTACGCGGATCGTCAGGGTACGCTGGCCCTGAACTTGGATTCTGGACGATTGTTTTCGCCTCAATTATATGTTCTTAGTTCTTTTTTTTTTTATCCTTTATTTTTCCTTGGGTAGTGTTTTGTTCATTTACAAACTAAAACACTGAAGGTTTTTTTCAGACTAGTATAATTACTTATATATATATATATATATATATATATATATATATATATATATATATATATATATATATATGTTTTTTGTGTATGTTGCAACAAGTATTTATAAACATAAATAAAAATGTCATTAGTTTTACTGAATATTTAACGCACATTATATAAATATATGGAAGATGCTAATTGATTTAATTTAATGACTAATAAATGAGGGGATAGAATGCTCGTTTTCAAACCATTAGATCTACGTCACCATGGTCGATTTGCTAGAAATGTGACGATGTCATCGATCTCAGGAAGTGATCCAAGCGTACAGCAAAATGTCTGAAAACCATAACTCGCGTGTTCATCCAAGTCTTGTGAGTGAAAATTAGACACCCAAAACTGTTCGAAAGCCGTCGTCACAAGTCATCGTGACCGAGGGTTTAAACACACTGTCCTTGTTTAACTGTTGATCACACCAGAAATATGGATCTACAAAAGGATACTGAGAATTACAGAAAATGGAAACAAAAAGGATACTTCTTTATGACATCAGAAAGAGACAATTGAAAATTGTATGTCAGATAATCAGGAAAATGGCTTGGAAAATTCGACACTCAGAGGACGTATTTGAAAGCCAGAGTAATTCAGCGCAGCGTATCTAGTGAGTGTAAGCAAATGGCTGGAATAAAAAGACAAAAATTTCTGTGACCTACAAAGCACAAGCAATTGTGTAGAGCAATGGTCACCAATGTCCTGATGTGACACGGGTCATAGAAGAAGATCAATTCAAATTACTTTTATCATTGAATGAGCTTTATATATATATATTATTGTAGATAATAGATAGCTAAATATGAAAGCAATCGAACTGCCTCGTCTCTAGCATCAACAGTTTACATTGATTCATTTTGTTAAGTGCCAAATCCTTCTAAGGGAAAGTATTTCTTTTGTTCGCAGTTCTTTTCTAGATTAATCTGGCTTTCGTTCTAGGAAATCATTATTCGTTTAGTATAATTTGGAGTAAATCTCAGTATATATATATATATATATATATATATATATATATATATATATATATATATATACATGAATTATTCACACAAAAACAAATGCAAAGGTTAATGATTTAATTGGTGAGAAATCCATCGTTGTAAACAATTCAAATAATATACAAAAACCTCCGAATCCGTTATGAATGAAAAGATCCTTATTTCTATAAATTTCTGCCGTATTAGTTCTTATTTTTACTACAAGCTTTCGTCTGTTCCTACAGACATCTTCAGGTATGGAATAGATGTTGTTCTTGTTTTTTCTTTTAGTAATAAGAGGACAACGAAAATATATGTATTGTTGTATCCGAAAATGCTATTGGAAATGAGTTATTGTTTTTGGAGCGTGCAATAAGAGCTAATACGGCAGAAATTTATAGAAATTAGGATCTTTTCATTCATAACGGATTCGGAGATTTTTGTATATTATTTGAATTGTTTGCGACGATGGATTTCTCGCCAATTAAATCATTAACCTTTGCATTTGTTTTTTGTGTGAATAATTCATGAATTTTAAATTGATTGCACGTTTATATATATATATATATATATATATATATATATATATATATATATATATATATATATATATATATATATATATAAATAATACAGTTATATGTTTATACATAAATGCTCTGTTTATAATAAACAGTATTAACAATATTTACCGGCCTGAATGTACGAGAAATTTTCATAGAAAATATTAGTCTACCGACAGGAATCGAACCTGTATCCTATACGGAACCGTCATATAGCCTGACGTGTCTTTAACCGATTTGGCCACAGAGGAGAGTTCGGTTAACAAGGTCGATTTTACTGCTTTAAAACTACAATCTTCCATGATTCTCTCACGTACATTCATATCTGCTCAATGCGTAACCAAATGTAAACAAATGACGTCACACATTGTAAAATTATGAATATACGTGAGAGAATCATGGAATCAATTTTTTGCCAACAGTCGAAAAAATGGGATCAACGCTCACTACAAATACAGAAAATGAACAATAAAATATTAAAAGAACATAAGGAATTTTCATTCCTTTAAAAATTGATTACTTTAATTTGCCTGAAGTAGGTCACTAGACCGGAAACACGTGTAGCAAAATATGAAGAACAAAATATAATATATACACTAAATCAAATCCACATTATAACCAAAAACGTTTGCGGTTTCTATCTTTTAAAATATGCATTTTCTCTCGTTGGAACAATCATAACCTTTTTCCTATATATATATATATATATATATATATATATATATATATATATATATATTTGAATTTTTGTAACCCTGGGGTTCAAGCTTTTGCGATCATCAAAAAAAAACTGATTTATTTTTAAAAATTGAATCTATTTATGTTAGTTTGTTTTGATTATGTTTTGTAATCAGCCAAAATCCTGAAGAAGCAAAAACCGATCTTTTCAGCTGGATTAGAAGAAGAAGAAGAAGAAGAAGAAGAGTGAGAAGAGGAAGAAGAAGAAGAAGAAGAAGAAGAGGAAGAAGAGGAAGAAGAGGAAGAAGAAGAGAAAGAAGAAGAAGAGGAACAAGAACAAGAATAAGAACAACACTAATAATAATAATAATAATAATAATAATGTGAATAATAATGGTACCTATCGTGAATCTCTGAAAACGTTGAAAAACAAAAGCTAGTCCAAGAAAGTCAGCATGAATCGTTGTTCTTACACAGAGAAATAGTGAAAGAGATTGAATTTCCGACGACACGACTCTCAAGATGAGCTCAAATATGAAAAGGAATAAAAGTGAACAGCAGGAGATTGTCTTACCAACTGTAAAAGATTTCTTAAAACAAGCCATCCCACTAAAAGCACGAGGAAAGGCGAGATATCAGAGAAGAAATGATCTTATAAAGAAAACCACAATGACAAAACGATTAACGGGCAAATTCTATAGGGAAATAGAGAAATCAACGAAGCCTGTAGAAAAAAGAACACTGTTAAATGAAGAAGTTAGAATTCTGGAATAAGATAAGGAGAAATGATAAGAATTAAAAGCGTAGCGTAGAATGGATTAAAAGCAGAAAACAGACAGGAATGGAACATGGACATTAAATGATTAAAATAATCTCTAAAAGAATTGAAGCAAAAGAACATACACGGTACCAAATTTCTGATAAAATGTCTTTCCCATGTATGGACTAAGCATTAGGAGATTTGTTTCCCGCTGTCATTCACAAGCCAAAGCAAAAACACAAAATGACTAAGTGAAAGCATTTTTTTTTAATTTCATACCCAAACCTGATGACCAGAGCCAAATTACAAATTAATCACGTGTTTTTAGTAATTTTCCAAGCGTAGCTAAGATGTGGCACAAAGCCGAAAGTATGTGGTACCTAGTGAGGAATGAACTCACTATTCAGATATAATTATTCTAGCGAGACAAGATTGCTAACCATTACACCGCCTCGAGGTACCCTAATCACGTCTACAACATACAAAACACTCATATCAATTTAAATGAACGGGTGAATTAGATCCTTCAACATTAACGAAAATCCCGAAAAATTCTTAGAGATATAACGATCAGTTGCTGATCAAGATGTCATAGGAAAACTGACAATCATAAAATAAATAAATAAAAGCCTTAGTGATGCATGTGTACAATGCACTGCATTCAGCATATTTCACGTCAGAATAGATACTCTTTTTTACTCAATTCACTTCAAGCAAGGTGATGGTATTTTATAATTCACCCACAGGAATTGAAGATGGCACAAAGGCCTTTTTAATGTGGGTATTACTGGAAATGAAAAATAATAAACCCGTCCAAAAAGTTCTTTACTCCCCGAACGAAACCCCACCCTTCGGCGGAAACCCAATCCTCAACAGGAAGAAAGGAGCTCACAAAGCGCAAAACTCTAGCCATAAGTTCTTTTTTTAGCAAAAAATGCCACGGGGAGCAAGGGGAACTGGGTAATAGATAATGAAAAAAATTTTCTTTTTTTTTTAACAGGAAGAAAATAAAAACGTAATTTATGAATAATGAAAGTTTTAAAAAACAAGAAAAAAAGGGTAAATTAAACGTATTTATAGGGTTTTAAAAAATGAAAAAAAATACGAATGAAAAAATACGAAAAAAAGTTAGCCTACCGTCCGGTTTACAGAAAATTATTACTATTTCGACTGTAACGCTCTGCTATGATAGGCTCTCGAAGCTTTTGTTTTTACAATAAAATAACAAAGTGTTATCAGATAACAGTTCCTTGTAAGACCATTCCCACCATGAAGCCTCGTCTTAGTGGCTTTGTTCCTAAAATGTCTTCGTCCAAAAATATTCCACCATCTAATCAATGAAAGTTGTGAAGAAGGATAGTAATCCCTGAACCCAACGAAAAATGTCGGCCACTTAATCGAGATAGGTGATCTTAAATTATTTGCAGTGAACAGAAAAAGGAACTGGAAGCATTTTAGTGAAGACCTTAGAATTGAATTCGGTTTTAGAAAACTAAATAGCAGTCGAGATGCACTTAGCGAGGCCATGACCAGGAGAAAGGGTTGAATTGCTCGATAAATCAATTTGGATATTCAAAGCAAATCAGCACCGGAGAGACATGTGAGGACTTGAATGCAACTCAATAATGAAGGAGGAAATGAAGGAGAAAAATAAAACTGTAATCTCAGAGAATATAAAAGACCAGGTGTTTTATAATCAACTAAGATCCATCTTCTTGGAGGAATTCCTTGAAGAGCTTTTAACGATTAATCTTTTGTTACTTTGGCAATGACCAGGTTTCCATTGAATGCTTAAATACGAAGTTGAAATTCTTGTTTTATTAAAGAAAATAATGAAAAATGGTACCTATGTCTGTTTGGGTTTCGTTTGCTATATGGCATATCAACCTCAATGGCTTATTTAAGGTCGACAAGATTTTTATTGCTAGGAAAAATTTTTTTCTTAAAAAAATGTATTGCTGGTATTAAAACATATTTTTATAGTTTCATAGTGTTGTGACCCCCCTTTTTTAGCGGGGGTAACGATTTTCCCATAGCTGGGACCCTGACAGGTGCTACCACCTCGGATCAAAATGGAGCTGGAGGGCACCAGCAATTCATACCCATGGCGGTTAACTATTTGCCCATACCTAACAGTTGCTACCCCCCCCAGGTCAGGATGAACCTGGAAATAACAGCAATTAAGAGGTGTTTCCACGCTCCTCAAACCTCCGATCAGAGGCCTTGCTGTTGGATGTAGTTTATCCAGTTGTTTTACCCTTATCCGGGAAGCTAACTGATGCTACCATCCCGAGTCAGGGTGGACGTGCGAGCAACAGCAATTAAGAGGTGGTTTCACACTCCTCAAAATCTCCCGATTAGAGGCCTTGCTGCCGGATGTAGTTTATCGTCATACTCAGGAGGCTCTGTTTGGTCAAAGCGATGTATATAACAGGCTTGGCAGTTATGCGGCTGGGGTTCACGATTGGGGGCGACATGTACAGAATATACATTACAACGAAATAACAATTAGAGAGAACATTTTAGGAATTTATAAGTAATATCATGTAATTAGTTAATTAGCAACTATACCTATTATTACGAATTCCCTTACAACTATTAAAATCATTGATTTATTTCCATAAAAACAGATGTACTAAGAATAAAACTAAACCCTTCCAACTCCAGAGTCGACTCATCTGGAGGAACCATGCCTGTTTCACCATTAGAGCGGAGGCTTTATTGAGTGATATGCACATAATCTGGTCACTGGTCGCAGATATAATTTCCAAATTATGTGCACTATTTACATTATTCGGACTATTGACCTCGTCTTTGTCGCCATATTTATTACAACGTTTCGGCCGGTGTACGCTCAAACTGAACTCTTTATTTCGCTCACTCGGGTAGACTGTTCTAGTTCCACGTGCCATATTTAATGGATGTCAGTTATCAGCTATCTCCTACTTAATTCCCCTCTCCAAGTTCTCCACCACCTTAACCGGGTATTCAATTCACACTCTTTTGGCTCCTGTCACTGGATCTAACTAACGCCTTTATGCACCGTGCTATGTGGATAGAGTGTGAGTTTAAAGATGAGGACAATAGATGAGGACAATAGTCCGAATCATGTAAATAGTGTAATTAAAACCAATTTTCGTTAACAGAAAGACAATGTTATCAAGATAATTTAATGAGTTAACCAATCCATTATTTGCAAAAAAAAAGCAAAAAATTAAAAATTAAATAAAGTTTCTCTAAATGGTTGTCATTTTTTACTGTACCTTCGTCAGGATTGAATTAATAATTGAAAAATGTAAATTTTTAATATTTGTTTTAATGAAAATTGTATAAACATTTTATGAATAAAATTTTCAGATAATTCGAAAGCTTTTAGTCTTGCTCCTTGAGTTGCATTAGGAGAATCAAATAATACTTTAAAAAAATTATATCTGACAATATAATCGTATGCTTTTGTTTTTATATTGTAATGAAGTATTTTAGAAACTAATATCAAGTCTTTTGTCAAAGAATTCCTGCAAGTTTTCAATTAAGTGACACCAGATGTTATAAATCAGAAAAACACCCGCGTCCTGGGTAAGACGATAAACTACATCTGGTAGCAAGGTCTCTGATCAGAAGGTTTTGAGGAGCGTGGAACCGCCTCTTAATTGCTGGTGTTCCCAGGTTCACCCTGACTCGGGGTGGGTGGGTAGCAACTGTTAGGGTCCCAGCTATGGGCAAGTAGTTAATGTCCAAACTGGGATCAAAACACTAGGAAAGTGAAAAAATAGGTTTTAGTACCAGAATTATATTTTTGTAAAAAATTGTAACCAGAAATGGATTTTTGAAGAAAAAAATATTAGTAGCAATACATTTTGGAAAAAAAATGTTACCAGCAATAAAAATCTTGTTGGTATTAAATAACCTATTGAGGTTGATATGCCGTAAAACAAACGAAACCAAATCAATATATACTGAAATAGGGGCACCTCGGGGCGGTGTAATGGTTAGTAAGCTTGTATGGCTATAAAAATTCCGATTGAATAGTGAGTTCGATTCTCCTGGGTGTTTCAGACTTTCGGCCTCGTACCACATCTAAACTACGCTTAGAAAAACATTTGGGGCGCCTCGAGGTGGTGTGATGGATAGCAAGCTTTTCTCGATAGAACATTTACGACAGAGTAGTGAGTTCGATCCTCACTGGGTGCCCCATGCTTTCGGCTTTGTACCACATCTAAGTTACGCTTGGAAAATCACTATACTTAGATAAATATAAAATATTACCATCAATAAAAATCTTGTTAGCATTAAATGAACCATTGAGGTTAATATGCCATAAACCAAATGAAAAACATCCACTTTTACTGTGGCACCCAGTGGAATCTATAAATTACCATAATCTATTTATTTCCAAAGATTTCTATTTTCTTAAGGTAAAAGGCTGTATTAAATATTTATTATTTAGGATAATATTTTCTTATAATGTAGCCTTCTCTATACAGAAGTGACATTTTGATATCTTTGGGGATTTTAGTTTCAAAGTTTGATAACTTATCAAACGTTTATCATAACATTTCATCCAGCTAATATCCAGATTTTTTCAATATGAAATATTTCAATAAGATTTTGTACTGTTATAAAATATTTATTAGTTGATTCTTTTTATACCGTTTATCAACCCTTTGCAGGTTATTTAAAGCCAGAAATATTTTTAGACTGTAATAATTTGAGTGGGGGGGGAGATAATAATGATTAAGTAAAACAAGTCTTACTAATTTACACTATTTACATTGTTCGTATTGTTGTCCTTAACTTTATTGTCATATTCACGATGATTCTGCCGCTGTACGCTCCGGCCTTCTT